TACGTATACGTACGTACGTACGTACGTACGCATACATACATACATATGTATGTATGTATGTATGTATGTATGTATGTATGATCCCATCCCATCCCAACAGTAAAAAATAATAAGAAATCAAAAGATAAGTCATTAAAATAAAAAAGTCAAAAATGAAATAATAAAATGAAATTATATAGAAAATAATCATAATAATATTTGATATGTAACCTACAGGTTACAGGTTCTGTCATACTATTTCATATCTTCGATTCACGTTATCACTTATCATTGGAGATACGTTCATTCTTATCAGCAGAACTGCGTGCTAGTTTTCTTACAACGTGAGGGTCTAAATGACTTTAAGACTCTGCTTACGGCCTGAATGTCATCAGGGCAGTTTTTAAGTAAAGATTTTAAAAATAAAAACTAAATTCAACCTTTTCACTTGCGCCTCCCGTTGGCAAAATCATCAGCATGTTGATGGTGGCTTTGGGAAGCTAGATCAGTTGCACTCACAAATCTATAAGGGGATACGAAATGAATTTTTTCTTTTCTTTTCTTTCTCTTTTTTGCAGAGAAATAGCGATATAAATGTTCCCAGTCATACATACATACATACATACATAAATACATACATAGGGATGGCATGGGATGGCATGCGATGGGATGGGATGGCATGGCCTGGGATGCGATGAGATGGCATGCGATGGGATGGGATGGGATATGGCATGGGATGGGATGGGATGCGGTGCGATGGGATGGTATGGCATGGGATGGCATGGAATGCGATGGATGCATGGATGCATGGATGGATGCATATGGATAGATAGATAGTTCGATTTTTTTGGGTATTTTCCTTTCAACCAAGCGGTCACCAACTGAGTAACGCCACTGATATCCCCGGGCAACGCCGGGTATCCCGCTAGTATATAGTATATATAATTCTAATAATATACCTTTATTTGCCGTTGTTGTGCTGCCTGCTGTTGTTGTTGCTGTTGTTGCTGTTGTTGTTGCTGTTGTTGTTGCTGCTGTTGCTGTTGCTGTTGCTGTTGCTGTTGTTGTTGCTGCTGTTGCTGTTGCTGTTGCTGTTGCTGTTGCTGTTGCTGTTGCTGCTGTTTTTGCTGCTGCTCCTGTTGTTGTTGTTGCTGCTGCTGCTGCTTTTGTAGCTGTTGCTGCTGCTGTTTACCAACAGAGACTAAGGGTTTCTTTTTCTTCTTGGCGTTACTGGGGTTGGTAATGGTACAGGCCTGCACCTCAGCAGACACAGGTGTTGTTGTTGTTGAAATGGTCGTGATTTGTACAGAACCTACAGATTTAAGAAAACATTTATCACAACTTTCACTTGTATCTGAATCTAAAAATCTTTCAAGGTGACATGAAAGCGAAAGAGAGCTTTACAGAAATGAATTAATCCATAATTTTGATATATCAGAATTTTATTTCAATGTTTTCTTTTCAATGTTTCTTTGACACATGGAGGAAAGCACATCTTTGGCTTATGCGTACCGTGCGTTGACACCGCAATTCCGTTTTGGTCCATTACAGGACCAGTGACCATCGGTGTGGGCAAGCACAGGGCCTGCGGGGAAAAAGAAGTGACCATCTCTGACTGATCAGGGGTCTGCAGCGGTGAGTGGGCACTGTGGCAACTTATGATGTCATCGCTGCTCTTTATGTTGTTTGGCTCTACCATTTCTCTGTGATTGTCGGACGGAAAGCTTCTATCTGCAAATCAGATGCATGCATACTATGTACGACAAGCCTTGTTCAAAGAAACCTAAATTCTCTGCAACTGATGTACGTGATATATCTGCTCACGATGCAATAAAGTACATCAGCATAACATTTCAAAACCATATCATCATCAGGAATCTTAGGTTGGTGTCATACCGGATAAGGCTTGTACAAACAGGTCCTTGGTCGGCATAGGCTGCTTTTCCCCCATCTTCAGTGGCGGCGCACGGTGGGCAATCTTGGCAGTTAAGTTGTTGGCAATCTTTGCTCTCTTGATTTGCCTCTCCTTCGCCTGCAGTGAGAGCTCTGAAGCCTTATCTGCAGTGAGCATTACATTAGAAATAGGAGAGAAGAGAGAGATACGCACATTAGAGAAAAAGGCAGTACATGAGGTAGAAAGAAACGGTAAAAGTGAGATAGATGCGGAGAGAGAGAATAAGAGTGAGACTAAAATTTGATGGTAAGAGAGAGAGAGCGACAATGATGGAGAGCGCGAGAGCGAGAGCAGGGGCGAGAGAATTAGAGGAGAATGTGACTCTACAACCACTGCGCAGATGGACAGGACGACCTCAGAAACAGATACAATAACTCCATTTTATTTTCAGCCTTATAGTCTGACTCGGAAATGTTCACCCTTGTGCAGTATGTGGGCAATGTTCTTGGTAGCCCTAAAGTTTTATGAAGAAAAAACGATTAGTCACTAACCGGGGCCGTAGCTTCTTGGGAGGGGGCAAAAGGAGCAGCTGCCCCTAGATTTTGGAGCAAAATAAAACAATAAGCTTAGCTAATGATCCTAAATAACCCAAACGAGATTTTTTTGGTCACTTAACCCCCACCACACTATGGACGTCGATCAAGAGCTGCGCCCGTCCCTCATCATTACACGATTGAGTCATGAAATTTTGCCCCACCCCTAGGAATTTGCTCAGCCTACGCTGGCCCTGCTAACAATCACTTGCACATGCACAACATCACATGCAAACGCGGTTATCGAGGGCGCATACGCAGTGTTGGTGCCAGAGCATACACATATGAACAAAGGACCAGCTCATCGTTGGATTCATTCCTGTCGCTGTGATAGATTAGCGTCTAATATTGTAATGGAACTATAGTCCATGGCAACTTATATTAAGTGGGCGAACTGAATCTACTTCACCAGCTGTTACCCCGTCATATCTTCAGCATACTGTACATTACCTTCTGATATATGTAAGACTTTCTTCTCCAGTCGCTGATGTTGGTCTTTGTGTTTCTGAGGCTCAACCGCTTTCGCTTTTTCCGTGTGCTTCTTGCATTCCTCAAGATAATCGGTAGAAACTTTCACGGCTGGAAAGTCAGAACGGGATCACTGATAACTAATATGCTGTTGTTGCCACGCAGTCGTAATAGTAATACTAAAGGATCGTTAACTAATTTCAGTTTAGTTAACAGTATTGTTTACGTACACGGAGTATGGGCGCTACCATGTCGAACCATTTTACATTAAAAGTCTGCCACCAGACGAGCAGGCCTAACCCAATGCGTTGAATGCCTTTTGTCATCAATGGAAGCCAAATCGAAAACAAGACTAAGGCACATTTTCCCACACATAAGAGCACGCATAAGTGTTGGGTTCATTTATGTTTGAGTAGGCATCGCCACACAATTACAAAAATCTTAGTTTAGAACGAGAACGTGTCAACTTAATATACTTGGAGATTTTTGCATAATGACTCTGACTCTTAATTAACCACATTTCACTGACAGCATATATTGCCAATGGACGTCTTATCAGTACATAGACCAATTGAATAGTGACTTTCCTCATTAAAAAGCAAATTATAAAAACTTTTTTTTTGGCGAATACGGCATGGATAACGTCATGTATAACCTTACGTGAGGCCGTCGCTTGGTCGACCAGTTGGTTTAGTGGTCTCCGCAGCATCAGCTTTACCTTTAATGCTGAATACGATGAAAATAGTAAATAAATGATGCTCTGGAGCGTTGTTCAACGAAACGCCTTCATGGCCGCGCGCATGTGCTGTACGTTGCTTGCTCGTTAAAGAATGCTAAACGCCCAGCGCCCAGCGCCCAGCAGCCGATACTAACTTTATCATATTTATTCTGGCACCACAAAAGATTTTCTTTATAGTTTTAGTTACCTTGACGCGCGCTCATCTGCTTTCAAACACAGGGCCTTACTGAGGCATTGTTACGCGATCATACCGAGCCGACACGAAAGTGTCGCTGGTTTTTCGTGAAAGGTTGCTGCGTTCACCACAACGGGCATTAGGTTCCCCCCATTCTTGAAAGTACACGGGCAAGTGCGTATCCTAAACTCGTAAACTCGGGTTTCGCGAATAATGCAGGAAGATACATTTACGAGGGTCTTAAACGGAAAGGTTGTGTAATCTGCTGTTCAGACAGGCGTTTTCAATGCGAGCCTAATTACATTTTTATATAGTTCAGAGGGTTCAAACAACTCCTTGGGTACATGAAATAAAAAATGGCGTAACGCAGAAATTACAGAATGACCTAACATTGATCCTTGTCTGAACTGTAAGCGCATATCCAGGTATGCGTAAACTGTAATCAAGCCGACCAGGTGACAAAAACCCCACTTAACCCCAGTTTATGTGTTCTTGATGTAATTATTTTATTCGGAATCAGCGGGCAATACCAATTTTTTTTACGCCGCATGCGCAGCGGGTGACGTGACGTAGTAACTGGCGTGGCGCATCATTAAAAACCACTAAAGATCCACAGCAACTGATTATACATAGAAAAGGACTTCGTAAAAAGTCAGGGAGCTTTGCATCAAGAACTTATCTACCGGACTTATCTAGTTACAGAGAGTATTATCAGGCATACTTACCCGACTTACTTTCCTTGTTCTTGTCAACCGTCTTCTGCAACCGCGCACTGTCTTTTATCGGGACGGCACAGATGGGATCTTCCTTGATGACTCCCGGACTGGATGATGACCCCGAATCGCCAGACTCCGTCGTTTCCGACTTTTTATACGTTTCCATAATCTTGGACAAGTCATATCCTTTAAACCAGTCTGGGTAGATATTCTGGAGGAAGAAAGATAGAGAAAGGGCCTAGCTTCGAATGGTCTTCTTGTAATGTGTCGTCATACAGTAAGATGCTAGTATCGTTGGCCGTGCCACCGCCGTAACCGAAGAGATTTTTCTTTGACCTACTCGTGCATTCCTTTCTCATCCCCTAGAAAATGTTGCGCCTCGTTATAACTCGCCGGCGTTTTTTGGCCTGTGAGTATATACCACGTACAACTAATGACGCTACACAGATGTTCACGCTACAGCCTGTGCACTCGCGAAAGTTTCTCGTTCTATAGGGATGACATAACCTACATGCGCTGTGCCGGAGCTTGAGAAACCTCCTGTACTAGCCACCCGCTCATAAAACTTGGTCTTAATAAGTAACATGAAAGCGCTGTGCGCGGTAGTGTTCAATTGCTCTTTATTCATATGGTTACTTACTGGTATGTAAAACTCATACACGTGGTTCGTTAAATATATGGTTCTTTATACGCATGATACAATATTATAGTGATTAGTGATGATTATTTATAAGGTTTCTTTATTGGTATGTTTCTTTGTTTGATATGGTTTCCTACTTCTTTGCTAGCCTACACCTTCCTGGTAAGGGCCCGTTTTACTGGTCATATGTTCGTCTATTAATATTATTCCACATTAATGTTAATTCATGCTGATATATTCCCGTGGCAATCCTTGAATCTGAGTGAGTATGTAAATGCTAGCATCGCGCATTCCTATTAAGGATGCCTACCTGTATGGTCTCTATGAGATCTCTGTCCAATTTAATTCCCCAGTATATCGTCTGGCCTGAAGGATTCTTCAACTGCTCACCTGTATCTGAAATATATCGAATAACAATCCATGTATGAAAAACAATTAAAGATAATAACACGGGAGTCATGGAATTTAAGGGCAGTGGACGATATTGGCGAAATGCATTCGCACGCTCAGTAGAAACATGACAGATGTTTCGCTGAAATAAGACATGGACAGTAGCGTCATTTTTGCAAACCTTATTAGGCAAGTAATTTTAAATGTAGAAGAAAATTTCATGTTCAGAAACAGAACAGAATTGCCCGCACAGGTAAGGCAGACATGGGAGCATATAGCCGGTGAACGGGCAGACGCACGGTCGGCAAAGTACCAAAACACATATATTCACAAATAACAGAGGCCAGGTTTATTTAACGGCTTTAGATTGAAAGTCTACA